CACTTGATGTGCATGACATAATATTCATGCCTTTTAGTTTCCCCCTTTTTTTAGAATGTTATTCATGCCCATTAAATGTTTGTCAACTTTGCATAGTTTACAAAACATCTCATTTTGCAAAGTTGTCAAAAACCCATTTACTCTGGAGAATTCCTTCTCATGCGTGTTCCTTTAATTATGCAGTGCTTTGACCTCACATCTAGCAGTTCCTGGAGGTGAATCACCTTCCATTATCAAATTATCTTCAGCTGATTAGCAAACAAGAGATATTTACAAAGCGTAACTTGCTACCAATCGCAATTTCACTAATTTCCAGAACACCTCGTGCATTGCGCAATCTCACAATGGTTATTTTGTGCGTTTATATTTATTTCGAACATCTACAATGTATTGTATTTGTCTTTTCATTCAACCTAGCCTAAGGCAAAAGAAATCAACCTATTTAGTGGTGAGCATCTGCTCTCTCGTCTGGAAGTGGTTCTTTTAAAACAAAACTGTTTTTGGTTCTAAAAATTCATTACGACTTAATACACCCTTTACTTCATCGTTACTTTTTATTCAACTTTTGTCTAGAAAAGTGATCAACAGCAAAATAGTAACCATAATTTGACCGGGTAATCTAATTTAATATATTGTACTCGAAAAGCCTGTTCCATTATGACGTAACAACCTCTTGCTGAAGGTGCTTTATTGTTGAAATAAGTAAATAAAACATATATTTTAAATTATTGATTCAACCTAGTAATACCGTTGATTTATGATTCATAAAAGTGTCGATACAAATGTTCTAGTTGTAGTGCTCAATTTATATAAAAAATACACAAACACTTACATTTTACTTTCACTTTTTATTCACAAGATACGGCAAATATTCGGATATTGTGTCAATAAACTATTCTTATGTTATTTGAACAGGATACAAAGGGCGCCACTAATTTATTATTACCTGAGAACTTAACTATTGCTACAAAGGCACTCACCCCCTGTCAACAGAAAATGACACGACACTACTCTACACGCTAATGGAAACGGTTCATACATAAATTCTGCTCACAAATACAATTCATAGACACCACATAGTCTGTTACATTAGTGTACATATTAGTTCATAACTAGGCCTTGCATTCTTAAAACATAAACGCAAAAAAAAAAAAGTTCAAGAAGACGTAAAACAATGACTTGTTATATTATCTTGGCGACAATTCACAAAACATTGTATTTTGACCTATAACTTGATTAATTAAGCATAAACGAACAAGCGTTAATTAAAGCGTTATGTTAATATATGGGTGGTAATGTCCTTAAACACTATTTTAAAAATGTTTCTAATGTTGTTCTTATAAAAATATTTTTGAGATCAGAAATTAAAAAAAGCAAATATGTATTATAACAAACAATAAAAATTATTTATCAAAATCGTTTTTCTACTAATGACACTTGTTGTGAGAAACATAAATTAAAGTCTTTAGAGTACTTAACAATCCTACATAGTTTCATCAGAGCCATGTTACACTTAAAAACTCCATTTATCAAATTCAGAAATTTTCAAACATCTGTCATACAAACGAACAAAAAACAAATAAATAAAGGTGCGCTAGATAATGACTCACATTTTATCGTATATATATTTTACTTTGATTAAAAAAAACAGTTTAGTCTGACTGAAGCTTCATCTTGTTCAAAAGCACTAGTTGAAGGATAAATTTCTGAATAATCAATTGATTTTCGCCTGAAAAAATGGTTTGTTTAGGAATACTAAAAGAGACTTAAAAAGGCATGATACGATATAAATGAATATTGCTAATATTGGGTCCCGAAAATACAAATACGTTAAAGGAATGTACAACAAGAACATTAATAACTGTACTTGTCAACATAATATATATAGGACATTAACCACCGTACTTAACGCCACGTCAACATAATACACAGGAAATTAACCACTGCATTTACCATCCTGTCAACATAATACACAGCATAGTAATCAGTGTATTTAAAAACATTTGAGATAAAATTCAATGAATATTCAAAATATTGCTTGAATTTATTTTTCATTATTACTACTAGTAAGGGCTTCTTGTTTCATGAGTTTAATTGCTCTTCAGAAAGTTATATTCCCCACTCTCTTGCAAGGATTCAAAAGCTACGAAGCGATATTCATGACATTTTAATTTCTCAGTACTCTCAATAGGATTTTACTCTATGAAAATCAAAACTTGTGTGTTTTTACTGATAATTTCTTTCAAGAAATCGGCCAATAAAATGTGACATCATATTGTCGTCATTATGTGGAGCAGTGTGAACTTTGATGAATAATCTGTGTTTATTACTATTACATTTCGTAAATTACCACATATTATGTTTGCATAATATTGCTAAACCCTTTTTCATCAAGTGATAAAAAGTAATTGCTTAAACTTCAACACTGACTTTTTTATTCCACTGTTTCGTGAGTGAAAAATTCCAATGAACAGTAGCGAAGATTATGACGGTGCTGAGCCGAAGGCAGTATACCATCCGTGACTTTTGAGCAAGATAATTATTGTTATTGTTATCATACATCAAACGTAAAGAACCTTTGAAAAAGAAACTTGACCACAGTTCTTATTATACAGATAATCTAAATAACAAAAGAAATTTCAAATGTACAACATTATACATTAACTTTGCACTCTTTCGCATCTAGTGTTATTTTCTAATGTAATCTAATTAGTTACATAAAAAGCGTTATTTCTAGAAAAATTAATTTGATGATTTTACCGAGTCATATCTTAGTATGAATAAAGTACGAGTTACAGCTTATTACGACTTAAAGCATTACACTATAGCACCTATATAATCGGAGTTAGGAGAGGAAGCGATAAAAATCCCTTTAAATGTTTTTTTTTGTAAGTCTTAGTACTACATATAACCACTAGATGACAGCACAAACTTATACATTTTTGAAACAAATTTGTAATCACGGAAAATAGATTTCACACAGTGTTAAACTATTTTCTCGACTGATTTGTGTGGGATTGTGCGCTACAATCACTATCTCTATCGAACTATAAAATAAATTATGTTTCAGTGAATGTTTGGGAAAGTTAAAATTATCTTCATTTTGATTTTTTGCTCTTGGTTTTTGTCTTTCCCCTACCAGAATTCAAAGCACTTGAGGATCAATCAGGGATTGACTAGTAACAGCACTCTACGTTTTTTTAAATTTTTATTGGTATAACGTCTTCGACAAGTCGTTTTGATTTTGGATACTAGCCTATTAGCTATTAACAAACATCACAGTTCTACATAGTTAAATAATAGAGCATGACATACTGGTTAATTATTATGTAAACTAAAAATTAGTACGAAACAAGTGCTTAGTACTACATTGAACAAGTGGATTTTATGAAGTCAGCTCATAGACCCCATTTTCAAGGAGTGTTTACGAATATCATTGACATATTGGTAATTCAAACATGTTAATCACAGCCTAGATGGGTTACAGTAAATTAGCACAGACATTAGATATTTACTGAATACAACTCACACACAAACTCATATAAGATAACAAAAGTTTACATTATACATGGAGCTGCTCTTTTGTCAACATGAAATAAGTCCACAGAAAAACAACATTACACATTGTAAAAAAGTGAGGTAGTTATATATGGAAATTTTGATATAAAGTCCTAGTGCAGAAAAAGACCATATTTGTATATATATTATATATATATATTTCACAATAATACCATCACTTTTATAAGTTTCACTGATGAGCAGACCGAGCAATGTGCAAAAAAAATGAAACTTTGTCCTTGTTCTGTTGGCCACACATGTTGCATGTAAAGGGGTCTTGGTAACCATGGTAACCCATGTGTACAGTGTACATAACACAGTCTTGAAAGGCCATATCGCAGTAGCTACAAGTGTAAGCATCTTGCCACTTGGACTTTACTTCTTCGCTTCTGGAGCTGGGTCTTTCCTTTGTTTCGTTTCCATTTTGCTCAGAAGATTGAAGAGTTTGAAGGGGTCTCTCTGGGATGCCACTAGTCATAGCAAAGCTATGATATGGAAAATTGAAGTAGGGACCAGGCGAGGTTATCACATTTCTGTTGTGCGTTGCATTTAGTCCATTATATCCAAAGAATAAAGACGACATCTGCCGGGGATACGGAATGGGCTGATTGATCACCCTGGCAATTTCCAAAGGCTTGACTGAAATTGACTGCGGAATTGGCTTATTTATTCCAGTCACTTCTGCTAAAGTGCTGATTTTAGAAACTGGTCGAACTGGTTCTATTAGAGAGGACGTCTTCCCTTCTGATATTTGTTTGGATTTAAGATTTTTTGGATGAAGTGGTGGAGGAGAATTATTACCATTGTATGGTTTGTAAGTAGGTACTGAGATCACGTTTATGTTATCTGAAGGATTCCTTGAAATGGATTCTTTTGATATCCAAGCTGTCAGACATTTGTCATCTTCTGTGCCGTCGTCCAAGTCCATTTCCTGTTCAGAACAGTTCTTCTCCTCAAGAGCAAAATGGAGGCGGTCTAACTTTACAGCTTTACCTTTTCTACGATTACGAGGAGTAGGAGATGGGATCTGTAATTGAGAGGAGGCGGGGAGATTCGTTGTATTAAGAGACCCGTTAGAAGCAGTTGTTTGTGGATGATCTTGAGGAGAAGAACGGGACGCAGGATCAAACACAGCAGGCTGCAAAGAGCTCATCTGTTGTGGAGTTGAGTGAGATGAAACTAGCTGTGAATTAACAGTCTGGGAGATAGCTGACCGTGAAGTAGTTAAACAGGACAAGTAGCCGGGTACCGGGAAAGATTGGGAAGTTGAGTAAACAGTCTGTGGTTGTGAAGTGGAATAAGAAGTTGAATTGGAATTGTCTGGGGAAGAGTTGGCATGTTGGGATTTTGTAGAACTATTATAACTGCTCAAATCCAGAGGAAAGTGTATATCTGGCTTAGCTACAGAAGATTCGTTTTGAAAGAGGAATGTTCCAGAAGAAAGCTGAGCCTGGTGAAGAGGAGTAGTAACTAACATACTATTTTGCTGATTGGCGAATATGGAAGAAGAGGAGGTGGGACTGTTAATTACCCGAGAGAGAGGAGAAGGCACATTTGACTTGTGGATTTCGGAAGAAAACTCTGGAGTTGAAATAATTTTAGTCAAGCTTTCTGCCGAAGAATTTGAAGCACAAAGTGTTCGTTTTTTTCTCGAGTTGTTTGCTATTTTCGTAACTAGGATTATGATCATCTTTCTGGGCTTCTCTATCAATTCTAATATCTTCTTCCCTCTGCATTCCACTTATCTTATGCTGAGCCTGTATTTGCTTAAGGGTTTCTGAAGTAATACCATACAACTTGCAAAGGTCTTCGTTTTCTGTAGTTATGTGCAAAAGCGTATGTTTGCTAAACAAGTCTTTGACTTCTGTAGTGAAATCACACATGTTACACTTCCAATTGCTTGAACTGGCCTCAGAGGGACTAGGACGTGTAATTTCTGATTTGGTTGTTGATGTTGAGGATGACCCATTGGGATGTGGCAATGCTTTGTGCAATGAAGGTGAACTGATAATCAGATTAGTATTAGAACCAGTCATAACTTGAGGAGGATACATAAATGGAAGACCCAAGGAAGAAGGCATTACTGGAGACATGCAAGGGTAAGTTACAGCTGGTTGTGCTATAGAAGGCATATGAGCAGTGGAAAACACTGGGCTCTGACTCGATGATGGATATTGCTGGTCATCTGATTTTTGTTTCTTTGATCTTGGTCCTCGACGGGTTCCATATACATCGATGACTGGGTAAGGATTCGGAGTTCCATCAATATTCAGAACTGTAGCAGGTTTGTGTATGTATTTCCGCAAATGAAGCTTAAGACTGTGGCAATACTTGGTTGCATAGGAACAATCAGCACACTTATACTGGTAGATGTTGGAGTGGGATTTCATGTGGCTGCTCAGCATGGACTTGTTTACGCAGCTGTAATTGCACTTTGAGCATTTAAAAGGTTTGGAACCAAAGTGGTTCCGGAGGTGATATTCCAGATGATGCTTGTACTCAGTTACAAAAGGACACTTGGGACAGTTAAGAAGTTTCTCAGTTTTGATATGTGATTTACTATGTTCCCAGAAGAGGGTCTTGGTTACAGAAACGAAGTTGCATTGTTTGCAACGATAATGGCGAACTTTCCCAGATGGTGTCCTAGAGGGGTTGTTTGAACCTAAATCACTAAGGCTTTCTTCCTTTCTGAGGACTCGCTGCCCATTCCAATCACCCTGGGGGACTTCTGAGTGAAAATCGTTTACATGACACTTGAGGCTGCCCTCCGTCTTAGAAATATAATCACAAAATGGGCATTTATAATCGAAGTGGGTGTTCAAGTGACAATTAAAGTGAAATTTGGAGGTTGCAGCGTAGCTACACAAATGACATTGGTACAATTCTCCAGTGACTCCATCTTTACGTAAGGAGGATAAAGGATCGGAGGGAGTCCCACCTTCGCTGCCATTGACAGGAGTTGAACTATTGGTTGGTGTATAGCTGACTGTAGAGAAGTCGAGTTTCGAGCCAAGCAAGACGTTCTTCTCTAGTACATTCTGCAACTGAACCAATGGATCTGAGTGCTCATCTTCATCTTTGATTTCGTTAGATTCGTTACTGAAGGAGTTTCCATCAGTGTCCTCTCCGTAAGAAAGATCACATCCGTTGTAGTCATCATGTTCTCTGTCATCGCTATTATCCGCTTCTGTGAATCCTTTGGGTAAAGCTGGTGAGATCACGCTAGAAACGCCGTCTGGTGGGGTCAGTGGAGACGAGTTTTCTTGATTTAGGTGTTCCTTTTGCTTTTCGCGCTCAGAGTGACAGCTGTCTTCTTGAAACTCTTTGTAATAAGATGTTTTTGCCTTCAGTGGCTCTTCCAGCTGAGATGGAGCTGCCATCAAAGTTTCGAATGAAATCGGCATAAATGGTTTAATTGTCAATGAGAATTAAGTCAAAGTTTACGACGTACCTTTTTATTGTTGAACGAAGTGTCCCGCTGTTATATTCTGGCATTTTCACATTAGTTTTATTATTAACTTTTACGTTTGCTGTTTGTTTCTTCTACCCTGCAGTTGTGTTCATTTTCTTTTTAAAAAGAGAACAGGGCAAGAAAAGCTAAAAATAAATAAATAAATTACATTAGAAACTGAACAAAAATAAAACTTCAGTTAAAAAAGCACAACTCAAAAATAATATAATATCAACTAACGTCTATAAAAGTCGTTAATTTCATGTAATACACGTAAGTCGTATTCGCCTTTCTATCTGTTTTGTTATATATCTATATTGTACAATAGTTTTTGATTTTGTAAAAATGCGATCGCCGATTCGTACACAACTCTTTATAATGGTTCTCTTTTCTTCGATTTCTTAATACGATTAAAGAGAAATTACACAAACAGAAATAAGTAAGGCTAAGCCAAACCTGTATTGCTGACAACCACTGTTATTTACCAAACTTGAGCGTACAAAACATGAAAGACTGTCACACGAAAACAGTTTAAGATTCACTTTTAAAACGTTTTATAACTCTCCCTCTATATATATATATATTATGCATTCGAACCGTGAGGCTTCAGCTTGTAACAAGCAGAAAGTGCAACCATGACAATAAGAAGGTTTCTTCTCACTTTGGAGTTTCTTGATATTATGGAAATCTTCTTCGAAAAAGCTACAACCTCAAACAAGCACGCTATCAATGTCTGCAGCTACTCAGGTCTTACATTTTAAGTTTGTTTGCATGAAAAGTCGTTAAACTCTTGTTTATTTTGGCTACAGTAAACAAGAGCCTGGACAAAGGCCACCACGTGCTTGGTGCTTGCCCACCTAGTGGTCTTAGCTAAGGGCAGACAAGCCACTGTTTCTAGAGGTCTTACGTCTTGCATCAGATCGATAAAAACTAGAAAATTGGCTGAAAACAGCTAATTCCATTCCAAGTGTTTGTTTATGACTACTTACGTAAATACTTTACCAATTCTGTAAGAATGTATACTTTCTAGAAACTACATAACCCAAATGGTTTTGTACTGCTGAAATTAGAAAGATAATACGTACATTCTCCGAACGTAAAAGTAGTTAATCGTTAACCTAGACAAAAATGGTTATAATATCTGTATGTGTAAGAACAACAAAAAAGTTCATTTATGTTCCACATTAATTTTGACGTAGCAGAAATCTTAATAGGACTGGTAGAATGAATGTAGAGTTTTACATCTAATATAAACGTTTTACGTACTTGGATAATAATAACTATGGACAACTAACCTTAATGTTTACTTCGACGTTTTGAACTTTTTCAAGTTAGTTTCACAAAAACTAACAGCGAAATACTGCTGGAGAAGTTTATACGTAAAACAACAACAGGTTACTACTAGACATCTACTATAGCTCGAGACCAGTATCGGCTATTAGTTAGCTACCAATCGTTAGGGTACCCTTACCCGG